TAATAACAATAATAATAATAGTGATAATAACAACACCAACAATTACAATTATAAAAAGATCAATCATAATAATGATAGGTATAACAGAAATAGAATTAAGAATAGCAACATTAAATATTGATATTTGTTGATAACAGGAAATAATAGTTATAAAACAATAAGAAACTCATCATCACTATCATCATTACCATTATTATTAAAACAATATAAGCAGAGTAAAAAAGATGACTGAAAACAAGAGCATTACTGTAACTTTAGTAGAAAAACTTTTTTAATGAAGGGATTTTGAGCTTTTATATATCATTCCATTTTCAATAGTATTTTGTAATTCAGCAAAGTAATAGTAATAATGAGAATAATAATGGCAATAATGATGTTAAAACAAAGCAAAACATAACAATTCTTTCTAGAATTTTCCCTAAAACATGGGTAAAAATGACACAAATGAAACTAAACATCACTGTCATAGTAACTGCTTATAAAATAATGTACTGCTGATGGAAACAAGTAATTAAATAATTTGTTCTCAGTTCAGAGTAAAACTATGATTTGTGATATTTTCTTGTAAGTTACATACCAGTTTTAAGAAAACACTAAATCTATTGAACTCACCAGTAAATATGTTAATTGGTAAAAGAAAGAAGTACTTAAACTTTCATACTTTTATTATAATTACACTCTCATTAATATGACTTATCTAAATAAACACTAACCTAAAAAATCACAGTCTTTTCCACAACAAAAGACTTTCATGACAAGTATTGTGCTATACCATTTGATGGATGACATAATATAATATTTACTTTGGTTTTGACTAGAAGGAAATATTCCTCTTTCAAGAATAACAAATCATATTTATCATATATGATAGGGTAGAGCGTAATTTGACATGCTATATGTATGGTTCCTCCATATCATTTATGTTACTCATTGCCTTGTGTAACACAAAGTAAAAAAATTCTAATTCAAATAATGCTATTACTAATAAACTTATGCTAAGTTTTCTACCTGTCTCAATAATTCTTGAATGAACATATGAAACGCATAAAACAAAAGACATCTCCACTAAGAAAAATATAAACTAATATTCTACTAACTTCAGTTATGGCACTGGTTACAGTTTAACTAGTAACTTGAACTTATTAGAAATCATAACCTGGATATATAGCTCACTTTTTGTATAAAATTATAAAAATGTATAAAATATATAAAGACCTATATAAAACAACCCTATTCTTACATTTATATAAAGTAAGACTATTGGAATTCACATATTCTCATTCATCACAATAATCACAACATATCATTGCATGGTATTTCATACCTAAATAAAGATGATTACATTTTCAATGTCTAATTAAAGCTAAGGAAGTCATTACATGGGAAGAAACTTGTCATTATCATTTTTTTTTTTATATCTATACAATTATAGATCACAACATGCCTACTCATCAGCCCTGCCCTCGACGGATATAAAGTGTATGCTCCTTATTTTCTTTGATATTCCTAAGTGATGACTTAAAGACTGCAATCTGACGGCCTGAAAATGGAAAGATATCTTTTATCACAATTCAGCTGTATTAATGTGACCATTACTAAGATAATTCCCCACACAATAATACAGATGAAGCATGTAGATCTACAACTTAGGAATTGTATATGCCTACCTGTCCAAGACCTCTGATCAATGAGGATAAATGCCTCACACTTTGGGATTTGAGAGCAGAGCCAGGCACCTTCTGCTGGTGAGGATACTGACTGAATACAACCCCAAGCAGCTGTCTTCTGACATGAAAAGTCGCCTTCTGATATTGTTTCACCAGGGTATGCAACATAATCTTGTGATAAAAAGAAAAAAATTATTTACACATATGTAAGTATGTATATATGCATGTATGTTTGTGTGTATGCGTAAGTATATATATATGTATCTGTATGTGAACAAACAAACAGACACACACACATGCACACATATAAATATCTAATCATATTATGATATTTCCTACTACATATTCAGAATACGTCTGTACACACACAAACACACAGACACACACACATATATAAATATCTAATCATATTATTATATCTAACTACTACATATTCAGAATGTGTTTGTACACACACGCAAACACAAAGACACACACACACACACACCACACACACACACACACACACACAACACACACACACACACACACACACACCACACACACACACACACACGCTATATATATATATACAACATACATAAATATCTAATCATATTATGATATCTAACTCCTACATATTCAGAATATTTCTTGATCTATTGTGTAATCATTTGATAGAAGAAATGTGTATTTCATATTTACTCTTTCAGCAGCTTACTTAATCATATCCTTCTCAGTATCTTTAAGATAATTTCCAGAAGAGTAATTCCTCACTAACCGATGAATCTCTGAATAAACTTCTTCAGAGTATAAATTTCCAGCCAAAAGACGGTTTAGAATATCAGAACTTGTATTTTCTAAAGCTTTCGGACTTCCATAGGGGATCAGCAGACGCATGAAATGTTGCCCAGCTTGAATTGCATTACTCAGGCTATTGTAGCCTTTACACTTCCCAGCACTACATGGCACTGAAAAAAAAAAAATCACAAAGGGAATTTAACTCCTCTGAATTCAGTCTTACAAGACAGATTGACAGCTAAATGAATTGTATTAGTTGACATTTATCTGTTTATACAAATTAGGTAACCTAACTGTCTCTGCAGGTTTATGTGTAAAACTTCTTCAACCTAGATAAATATTCATTCCATACATAGAATATAGTGACTGAATCTGAGCAGTGCAGCAAGCATGGGACCAGACAGGCATCAGACCAATGGATGTTCTGAACCATCAAAGTTTCAGACAAAAAATACAGGCTAATCATAAAAGTATTTCAAAGTGAATTAGAAGCATCATGTCAATGATAACTATATTCAAATTACTTCCTAAAACACCAAAGACCCTAAATGCTGACCTACTCAATCTCAACCTATGCTTGATGTACTTCTATAATGTCAGCTTTAGTATGAAATATTGTGGCATCACATTTCTGAAATATCAAATACTTACAATATGATTTAACATGTTTACCACTGCTGATCTCCAGAATGCAGTCCTTATCATGAGTGCACTTGGGGTCTCCAAGAACTATATCATCCACATCAGATAATTTTAGGGTGTCACCAACAATAACAAACTGCTGCCGTCGAAAGTCCTTCATTAATAGAGAGCCGAGGGGAGAGTGGACTAGATGCTGCAGTATACTGACTACATCATATGCTAGCTGAAGAATGAAACAAAATATATGTGCAATATGAAGTCGCTGGATAATTTTTGTTATTTATCTCATGACATGTCAAATCTGCTTTACCAAGATACATAATGTTTTTTTTCAAATGTTGGTGATTAGATCCTACCTTCAAACGGCTTTCAAAGTCCATCTGCAATATTTCAATCATGTCCACAGGATGACCCAGTTCTGTTATCACTGCAACAACTCCTACTGCAGGAGGTCCTGGAATAATCTTCATTTGGTAAGCATCCCCAATACCTGTAAGAGACAAGTTCGTAAAAAAAAAAAATAGCAATAATTATATGGTGATGATGATGATAAAGATGATGATGATGATGATGATGATAATGATGATGATATTAATAATGACATCAACAACAGTAATAGTAGAAGTAGGGGATAAAAACTGAAAGCCTTTACCTTTAAAACATTTGGATGTTTAAGTTCACGAAGCAGTGCTGTCTCCTTGATTATCTTTGAGGCACAACGATGATAGCAGACACTAGTTTCTTCCTGACAACTAGTCATGTCGTGACCAGAACTATGCACAGTTTTTAACGCTACTGCACTATTTCCATATAAACCTCTGAAATGGTTAATGGTTAATGATTGAAACAAATAAATGTGCTTGACATCTAAGGACATATAGCACTACATTAAAGTATTGTTCTGAAAAGGGTAAATGAGTTAGCAATTTGTATAAAGAGTGTTAAATGTCAAAGGTTATAGTGCTACAGTATGATGGGGAAAACGTGTAAAGAGGGGGTGCAAATGAAGTAAATCGGAGATTAATAAAGGAAAGGACTATTGGTATTGGTCGATTGGATGGAATAGTGTGCATTTATGTTTGGGGAAGCTATAGTAACATTGCTTTATAGAAAAACTGGTAAAAGAGCTGCTATGAAATAATCAATGGGTAATAAGGGTAGAGTTGGTTGTTGGAGAAGTAGCAGGAGAAGAGTCTGGGAAATAAGATAAGGGGACTGGGGAAGTATCAGGAAGAGCATCAGGAGGGGGAGGAATCCGGAGAAGGACACTGTTGCGACATACGGGATTCACTTGAGTATCCAGGTGGGAGAGGTGAAGATAATGAGAATGAAAAGGGAATGGTGTACATGAAGAGAGGATGGTGTTTGTTGGGAAAGAGTATGAGGAAAGAGAGTATGGGGAACTTGTGGGGGAGGAGGGTTGATATTGGTAAATACTTGAATATAGAAAGACAAGGAATAGAAGGATTGGAGGGTGGATGAGGGAGCAGAAAATTTTCTTGGGTCACGTCTAAGAATTTCTGGTTGTCTTCAAGAGTTTCTGAGGGATTATAGGTAGGAAGGTCTGAGAAACAAAGGATCTTGTGAGGAGGAGAAGAGGGGACAGATGTTAACAGAGGAAAAGGAGAGGGTGTGGAAGGCAAAGATGGAGTAGGTTGTCTGGTGCAATGGATAAAGTGAGGGGAAGGAAGGGTAGGTATCAGAAAAGTGGTAGAGATTGGAGTAACTAGATTTACTATGGAAAAGGGATTTGACTTGGGGGATAAGGAGATTAGAGGTAGGATGGTTCAGGGTATAGGGAAGAGATACTGGGGGAAATGCAAAACATCTTATGGAAATTGGGGGTGTGCAAAGTGAAGGACTGTTTTGGAATAGAGAGAAAAACCTTGTAGTTGTGTTTCCTGTCTAGCC